CTAAGCGAGGGCCGCCGCGCCGCGCTCGCACAGCTCCCGGAGCCCCGCCTGCAGCCGGGCCGCGGCCTCCCTGCAGCGCTCCGGTACCAGGTTCGCGTAGCAGACGCGGACGGTGCCCGGGGCGCCGCAGGCGGAACCAGGGATGACACAGACCTTTCGGGTCGCACGCCCGAAAGGGGTACAGAACCAACCAGAACCAACAGCGGCCGCTGTTGGGCAGGCGGCGTTCTGTCTCAAATCGAAGGCAGTCCGCGGCGACACCGACGGCGAGTCCTGGTCAAAGTGAACAGGGACTGGTGTCGGTCTTTGTACCCAGTCTTTCCGCCATATCATCTAATCCCCCCTCTACTCTGAGTAGAGGGGGGATTAGCTGACATGGCGGCGGCTATACTGCTCGGCTCTATCGATTAGCTACTTTTTCTCTGCTCTTTGGGGGTAATTCCAAGGTGACTGTGGAATTACCTAAGAATCTCAAAACGTTCTGAGACAAAACGATATGGAATCTCATTGTTATGATGCCGGTCTGGGGTTCAAGTTCCTGGGTGACCCTGATTTTACCGACGGAGAATAAAAGCGTAAAACACTATTCTTGGCGCGCGCGGCCCTGCTGCTTGAGCATGGAGGGTGAATTTGAAATAAGGGTGGCGCGCTACTTGGCCGGGCGGGCGGCAAGGAGGGTTTCCCAGAATTTGCCGACGGGGGACAGCCTGTGGGGGAAAGCCCATGGGGGGCGGCCTGTGTGGGGCAGACTATGGGGGGTCAGGCAATGGGCGGCAGCCTACAGGGGTCAGCCTACGGGGGCCAAGCAAAAAAAGGGGCAGCCGATTGGGAGCAGCCAGCGCAGGGGCAGCCTTGGGGGACAGCCTTCGGGGGGACAGCCTATAGGGGGGGCGGCGGGCTGTGGGAGCAGCCTTCCTCTTCTTTTTTTGGGGGGGCGGGGGGGAGGGGGGGGGGGGGGGCGACATAGGGGGCAGCCCATTGGAGGGGTGGGGGGCGCAGCACATGGATTGCTTATGGGGAGGCAGCCTATGCGGGAGGAGCCTATGGGGGGGGGGGGGGGGGGCACCCTGTGGGGAGGCAGCCCATGCGGAGGGAGCCTATGGAGGGCAAGCCTGTGGGGGAGGGGGCAGCCTATGCGGGGGCAACCTAAGGGGGGGGGACAGAATATACGCGGGGGAAGCCTGTAGGAGCCTACGGAGGGAACAGGCTGCGGGGGACAGCCTGCGAGGGGGATAGGCTATGACAGGCTGTGGGCATCTATGGAGGACAACCTATCGAGGGCAGCATATTGGGGGGGATACGCTTTAACTAGCTATACGAGCAGCTCCTCCAAAATAGCCAATGAAGGCCCAAGACGGCCTCCATGGCGGCCCAAGCGTGTCCAAGATGCATCCAAGTCCGCCTGAGAAGCCACCAAGACTGTCCAAGCTGGTTTCAAGATGGCCCATGAGGCCCCCAAGAGGCTCCCCAGAGGCCTCTAAGACGGCCCACGAAGCCTCCAAGAGGTATTCCACGAAGGCCGAAAACGCCCAACTGACTGATTTCCTTTAGGTGTTTGAAAAAGTTTCGCATTTGCATGTGCTCAGCTCTCGGACGGCCCAAGACGGCCAAAGAGGCACCCAAGAGGTCTCCAAGATGGCCCCATGACAACTGAAAAGGCCTCCAAGACGGTCCCAAGAATGCCCCAAAACGACACAAGAGGTCCCCAAGACGTCCAAGATGGCCCCCGAGACAGCCTTGAAGCGCCCCCAGAGGGCCCCACATCGGTCAAGAGGGGCCCACAAGACGACTTCCGGCGGCGTCAGATGGGTTAGGAACGCCTTACGAGGCCTTCACGAAGCTCATAAAAAGCACAAGGAAGCTCCCAAAAGCCCTCGAAGAGGCCCCCAGGAAGCCCCCAGGTGGCCCCAAGAGTGGCCCGAGAGGCTCCCAAGAGGCCTCTTGCTCCCTCCGTCGTGTCCGTCCCTTTCCTCGTTTTCCTTTTCCTCCCCCAAATGCCCCCCCCCGAAGGGTTTCCACAACGGCGTGCGGAACGCATGGCCCACTAGCTTGGCCCAGCCCTGGCCCAGCGATTAACCACACTGGCGCTTCCAAACTGCAAGGGGCGGCGGTGGTTCGCCGTGAACGTCTTCGATAACAGCTGTCCCCCTTGTGTTCCGCTGCGTGCTCCTGCACTTCCCTGATCAAGGCAACTCGCGTGAGCATCCCATATGGATGGGTTGGCGAGGATGCGCGAAACGTCAGGGATCAGCACCCGACGACAAAATATCGACACCGAATATTGCTCGCAGAACAGACTACCCAACACCGAAGCAGAACATGACCTAGGGTTTGAAGACTTTTCAACTTTCGAATATACAAGATTCACCACGGGCGCGTCCGCGCGACCGCGCGCGAGCGCGATCGGGTGACCCACGCGAGGGCGGCTCACCTAAAATTCAGTTGGTCACCACTTAGGGCTCACTGTAGTTTCCAAACCAAAATGGCGACTCGTCCTATATGGGCAATACCGAATTCCCCCCACGCGCGCGTTCGGGTGACCCACGCGCGGCGGGGTCAGCCGAAATCTGGCTGGTCACCGTTTAAGGATGATTGTAGTTCCCAGGTTTACATGGCGACCTGCTTCTGTGCGACAATACAGAATTCCCCACGGGTTGTCCGCGCGCGCGCGAGCGCGATCGGGTGACCACGCGCGGGCGGGTCACCCGAAATTCAGCTGGTCATTTTTAAAGGTATACTTTAGTTGCGTGGCAAACGTGGCGACTTGTCCATTGTGGGCTATACAGAATTCCCCCACGCGCGCGTCCGCGCGCGCGCGATCGGGTAACCCATGCAATGGCGGGTCACCAGAAACCCGGGTGGCCACCATTAGTGGCTCACTTTAGTTCCCAAGTCAACATTGCGACTTTCCCCTTGTGGGCAACGAAGAAAACCCCAACGCGCGCGTCCGTGCGCGCGCGCGATCCGGTGACCCACGCGCGGGCGGGTCACCCGAAATATGGGTGGTCACCGTTACGGGTCCAACTTAAATATCCAGTTTAACATGGCGACTTTTCAAATTTCGACCGTAAAAATTCCCCACGGGCTCGCCCGCGCGCGCGCGGGAGCGCGATCGGGTGACCCACGCGCGGGCGGGTCACACGAAATCCCGTTGATCACAATTAAGGGCGCACTTTAGTTTCCAAGCCAACAAAACAACTCTTCCATTGTCATCAACACAGAATTCCCCAACGCGCGTGTCCGCGCGCGCGCGATCGGGTGACCCACGCTCGGGCGGTTCACTTGAAATCCGGTTGGCCACCATTAGTGGCTCACTTTAGATCCCAGGCCAACATTGCGACGTTCCCCTTGTGGGCAACATAGAAACCCCCATCGCGCGCGTCCGCGCGCGCGATGGGGTGACCCACGCGCGGGTCACCCGAAATCTGGTTCATCACCGTTAAGAGTCCACTTTAGTTGCCAGGCCAACATAGCAACTCTTCAAATGTGGACAACACCGTATTCCCCAACGCGCGCGTCCGCGCGCGCGCGCGATCGGGTGACCCACGCGCGGGCGGGTCACCCGAACTCCGGTTGGCCATGGCCACCGCTAAGGGCTCATATCCACCCCCCTCGCGCCACCCCCTCCGTGCGCCACCGATCCTGGATCGCAAGCTCCAGGTCGGCCTCTGCGGCTGGCGCCGCATGGCGGCGAACGTACCGCCGCACATTGCGGCGGGCGACTTTCGCGACAGATCGGAGTTGCACCCCAGGCAGCAGCTGAAGACGGGGTCCGAGAAGCCCCGGGCGCCTGCATCACCGAGAAAGGCTGCGAAAACCTAGGGCAAACGCGGCTGCGGAAGAGACGGAGGAATCCTGATGGGACATGGACCCGAGGCACTCGGTGGAGTCCCCATTGAATCCCGTGGGGCCACGATACCAGTGAAGGGCGTGCCGAGATGGACCCGAGGCTTTCGGTGGAGCCCCCCGTGGGGCCACGAACCGCGCGACGGGCGAGCCGACATAGACCCGAGGCCTTCGGTGGAGCCCCCCACGAGGCCACGAACTGCATAAGGGTGTGCCGAGATCGACCCGAGGCCTTCGGTGAAGCCCCGTGTGGGGCCACGAACCGCGTGAGGAGTGTGCCGAAATGGACCCGAGGCCTTTGGTAAGGTCCCATGTGGGGCCACGAAGCGATACAACACGTGTGAAGGGTGCGCCGGATTGGACCGAAACCCTTCGCTGAAACCCATGGTGGAACCATGAACCGCGTGATGGGTGTGCTGAGATTGACCCTGGTATGCCGAAAATGTCCCTGAACTGTCCCTTCGATTCCTCTGTATCGAAAACACAAATTATTCTTCACAAGCCTCAGATACGGCATTTTTTGATGCTGCTGGGGCGCGTTGCGTGACTTTGCCAAGGGTCTACTGCAAGAACCCATCTCGGTCCGGAGGAATCCTGGCAGGTCGGCTTCTAACACCGCGTGGATCGTTCAATCTTGAGCGATCGGCGCACCTGAAGGCTCTCCTTGAAGCGCGATTTCGGACCGCGGGTCTGTTTCTGCCAGTCCTACGCCCCCCCCCACAAAAAAAAACGCCCGGGCGCGGTCACCAACATCTGCAGTAGAAGCTGTTTCACCTGGGCTCAGGTCAAAAGTTTGGTCAGAAGCCCCCAGACCAACCAACTCATTTATGCCACACGAGCGCAACAATGGTTGTAATGCGAAGCATTGCAATGAAATGCAATGTAGTTCAAAACAACGACGCGCAATACAATTAAATTCAAGGCAATGCAACGCAAGCCGACGCAATGCAACGCAGTGCCATGCAATTCAACGAAATTCAGCGCACCGCAAGGCAACGCGACAATGTTTTATGCCCACCTATTTAAACCCTTCCGCGTTGCACGCGGCGTTCGTTTTGGGCCTGCCTATTTGAACACTTCCGCGTTGCATGTCGCGCTCTCCTGGGAACTGCGAGACCTTCTGCGTTGGATTTCGCGATTTTCCTGCCTACTTGACCCCATCCGCGTTGCACATGACTTTGAGGCCTGCCAATTTGACCTCTTCCGAGGTGTGCGTCGAGAAACCTTCGGTAGAGACCCCTTGTGGCCACGAGACGTGTGAAGGTGTGCCGAAATTAACCCGAGAGCTTCGGTGAAGCCCCGCGTGGGGACGCGAACCCTGTGAAGGATGCGCCGACATGGACCCGAAATATTCGGTGGAGCACCCTCCAGGGCCACGAACCGTGTGAGGAGTGTGCCGAAATGGATCCGAAGCCTTCGGTGGAGTCCCCTGCGGGGCCACGAGACGTGTGAAAGGCGTGCCGAATGGGCCCGAGGCCTTCGGTGGAGCCTCCTTGTGGGACCACGAACCGTGTGCGGTGTGTGCCGACATGTACTTTACATTGACCAGAAGCCTTCGGTGGAAACCCGCTCTGTGGTCACGAACCTGCGTGAAGAGTGTGCTGGAATGGACCCGGAGCCGTCGGTGGAGCTCCCCGTGGGGACACGACCCGTGAGAAGTATGTGACGATATGGGCCCGAAGTCTTCGGTGGAGCCTCCCTGTGGGGCCACGAACCATGTGCAGCTATGCGAAGGATGTGCCAAAATGGACCCGAACATTGAAATGGAGCCCCCTGTGGGGCCACGAAACGATACGACATGTGTGAGGGGTGCGCCGAATTGGACCCGAGGCCTTTGGTGAAACCTCGCGTGGGGCCACGAACCGCGAGAGGGGTGTGCTGAAATTGACCGGAAGCCTTCGGTGGAGCCCCCCTGTGGGGCCACAAGACGCGTGAAAGGTGCACCGAAATGGACCCGAGGCCTTCTGTGAAACCTCGCGTGGGGCCACGAACCGCGTGAGGGGTGTGCTGAAATTGCCCCGAAGCCTGAAGTGGAGTCCCTGTGGGGCCACAAGGCGCATGAAGAGTGCACCGAAATGGACCCGAAGCCGTTGGCGAAACCCCGCGTGGGGCCACGCACCGTGTGAGGGGTGTGCTGAAATTGACCCAAAACCTTCGGTGGAGCCTCCCTGTGCGGTTTCGAACCGCGTGAGGGGTGTGCCGCGAAACCTTCTGAGGAAACCCGTGAGGCCACGAACCGCGTGAGCGCCGAAATGGACCCCGAGCTTTCGGTGGAGCCCCTTAAGGGGCCACGAACCGCGTGAGGGGCGTGCCGAAATGGATCCGAAACCTTCGGAACCCCCTGTGTGGTCACGAACCGCGTGAGGGGTGTGCCGAAATGGACCCGAAGCATGAAGTGGAGCTTTGCTCCACAGAAGCTTTGTGAAGAGTCCCAGAGACTCACCAAGAACTCCCCCAGAGGCCCCCCGAAGGCTCCCCAGAGGCTCTCCAGAGGTTCCCCAGAAGCCCCACAGAGGCTCCCCAGCAACTCCCGAGAGGCACCCCAGAAACTCTTCAAGGGTGCCCCAGAGATTCCCGGAAACCTCTCAGGAGGATTCCTCTTGATTCCTGGGCATCGCAGGCAGGGGAGTATGCCCCAAACCTGGGGGTACGGCCGCAATGTGAACACATTATTCTTCCCGGCGCCTGCGGGGGAACATGGAGGGAAGGAACGGTTGGATTTTACCGTGAGCGAGCTTCTCCAAAATGCTTGCGAAACGAATTCCAACAAGCCCGGGTCATAGTGCACGAACGCCAGGCCATGGGATTAGCGGGTCAGCGCACGCAGCCGACTCCCCCGGCGCCGCCCGGCGCCGGGGGCGCCCGTGCATCGAGGAGGAGGCGCCCGGCGGCGGGGCCGAAGCCGGCTGCACGCGGCAGATCTTGCGCACACGTCACCCCCGCACACTGTCCCTGTGCCTCGAATATGGAGCGAGGGGGGATCAGAGCGAAGGTTTGCATGATCTGGACCGCAGCACTTGGCGCCTCAGAGTCACAGCCGTACGATCTCAAGCCGGTGGGTTCTCTGAATCGTTCTCCCGCAGCGCATGGGTCGACCCTCCAGTACTGAACTCCCTCTTTGATTGCAATGCCGACCGCTGACGCAGGACGCGACGCTGCGGAACGCTACGCTTTCCCTGTCACCCGCCCCCGTCTCGCCCGACCCCGAGGCCTTGTGTCTGTCCAGAAGAGCAGGCAGATGAACGAGCATGAACTTGCAGGAGGGCCGCGTCGAAATTCCTGGGGTCGGCGCTGGACCCCACCGAGGGGGGGGGCCTGTGCCGGCCCGAGAAGTCCGCGCGGACCTCCGAAAGCGAATGCCCCTGCTGTGCTTCGTTCTTCTGGTCTGTCGTTGAGCCACTCCACCACCCTCATGTCTCGGGATCCACAAAAGGGGGGGCTACCCTGATTAAAGGGGGCATGAGTTCGATCCGTTGGTGCACCGAACTGCCGCAAACAGATGCCCCCCGCCATGCCCCACCTATCGGCAGCTATCGGGAGCTGCCGGTGGCTGGGGGGCATCTGTTTCGGACGGTTCGCTGCAAGAGCCGATCGAACTCTCACACACACACACACACTGGGGCCCCCCCCTTTGCAGGATCCCGAATGTCGTCCCCGCAGGCGCTAGGCAGCCGCACCATCAGGTAGATGGCCCCAGAGCCGCCCACGTACTGGCCCTCGCCCAGCGCCGCGTCTATGGCGGCGCAGACGATTCGCTTGTTCTCGCTCAGCCCCGCAACGCGCTCCTTCACCCAGGGCGCGCCCGCCCCGGCGGCGGCGAAGGCGGCTTTCTGCGAGGCGACGGCGGGGCAGATGGCGATGGTGTCCTGCGCCTTCATCAGCTCCCCGTGCAGCCTCGGCGGGTACGCGATGTAGCCGACGCGCCAGCCCATCATCCCGTACGCCTAGAGGCAGAAAGAACGGCACAAGCAGAAGCTGTCGATGGTCCGCGCGGACTTCTTGGATCTGCGCTGGCCCCTCTCCCTGGCGCGCGAAGCGCGCCAGGGGCCGACAGTGGGCTCCGGCGCCGATCCAAGAGATCCGCGCGGACCGTCGAAAGCTAATGCTTATGCGGTTGTCGCTTCTTTTTCTTCGAACGCCTTCGAGAAAGAGAAGATGCTTCGGGGAGACGTCAGACTCGGGATCGGGGGACTCGGGTTGGCCTGACGGGGCCGTCAAGAAAATGACGAGACCCCGTCAGAAACTTGACGCGAGCTCCCGCTGCAAACATCCAACGAGCACTGGACCGTCGAATCCAGGACGGGCTCGTCAAAAAGCGTCGGCAAACCCGAGGTCCGGCGAACTCGAGTCCTACGCCTCCCCCAATGTTGACGACGTGGTCGCCACCGACGCAGGAGTGCGGCGGCATACCCTCCGCCTCGTAGGAGAACAGCTCGTAGGTGTTGTCGACCACCAGCCAGGCGCCGTGCCGCGCGCACGCCGCGCTGGCCCTCGACAGCAGCTCGGCCGGGGCCATGATGCCCGTCGGGTTGCAGGGGTTCACCAGGGTGACCTGGGACGCAGAAGGGCGCAGTAGTAATATCCTGCGGCAACTCGTGATGAGGGCCTCCCATGTCATCCTGCTGGCTCTTGCGAATCGACGCTCACCGATGCTCATCGACGCCAACCGACGCTAAATCGACGCTGAATCGACGCTAACTCGGTGCGTTCCCATCGACTATCGGACGCTGGCACACGCGAATGCACTCTGGAGACGGAACTCCGAGGCCATACAAGGCGCCCATGAAGTACGACCGAAGTACTCTGCGCCCCCCTTGGATGCGGGCGTGCGAACCGAACATCCAGCACAAGCGCCCACGAGCACCTCGTTGCCCGGAAGGTCTGGCCAGAAAGCGCCCGCCACCGAATGCACACTACGAGGTTTCTGAGAGCGCGTGCGTCGCCCCAGACGGGGCAACGCACCCGCAGTGTAGGTAGGCCTGGGCGGTGCCGACGACCATGCGTATCCGCGGGCCACCGTCCTGGGCGAGCCGCCGCTCCAGCCACTCCACGTCTGGGAGGAAATCCTCCCTCACGGGCCCCCTGATGACGGAGGCCCCGCCCCCCGTCATCTGCAGGGCCATCATGTGGTTGAAATAGAAGGGGCTGAAGAGCACGGCCCCGTCGTCCGCGTCCAGAACCGCGATGACGACGTTCGTGAACGCCTGGTTCGCGCCCGCCGTGACCATGACCTCCAACAGGGAACATGTCGACCCCTATCCCGGGGCTTTGAAAGGTTTTCGAATGGACCAGAAATTTGGGACCCAACCCTGGGATATACGATGGGAGGGGCGTCCATCCTCGATAGGGAGCCCCCTGGGGACGCATCCCAGGATCCCCCTCCTTTTCTGAGCGGCCTCACTTTTCACCCAAAAAAACCGGCGCTGAGGGAGAAAGATCGCCTGCGGACCTCGACGCCGTCGAGCGCATTCTCCGTGCGCAGCTTGGCCTTCAGGGCAGCCCGCAGCTCGGCCGTGCCGTCGTCGGCCCCGTACGCGCTCGACTCTGGGTCGGCTGCGGCGGCGACCACGGCCGCCGCGACGGCGGGCGGCGGGGCCCAGTGCACGATGCCTTGGGCCAGGGAGAGGATCCCCTCCTCTCGAGGAGCACCAGAGAACATAAACATCAGCCCCCAGAGGCCCCCAGGAGGCACCAAGAGGCCCCCAGGAGGCCCCCAGGAGGCCCCAAGAGGCCCCCACGAGGCCCCAAGAGGCCCCCAAGAGAGCCCAGGAGGCCCCTCTGGAGGCAGGCCCCACGAAGCCCCCAAGAGGCCCAAAAAGAGGCCCCAAGAGACCCCCAAACGGCCCCCAAAGGCCCCAAGAGGCCACGAATGCGCAGGCAAACGCCTGCGATGGCACAATACGGGCCGGCGGAATTAGCGAGGCGATTCAATAAAATAAACATTCACTTGTGGAGGTCCGCCCAGATTTCTTGGATCAGCGCTGGTCCCCGCCGCGCGTCCCTCCCGCGCGGAGCGCGCCGGGGGCGGAGCCGGAAGTGCCGCCAAGGGGCTCCGGCGCCGATGCAAGAGATCCGCGCGGAACTCCGAGAGCGTATGTTGATGTGATGTTTGGTTCCTCGGTCCTTGCCCTTCAGCATCTTCTGCATCGTCACAATGCACGGGTCGTCAGTAGCGCGGACGCGTTTGCTCGGTGGGGCGACCTCTGGGGCCCCGCCTGGCGCCATAGGCGGCGATGCGAGCTGGCCGGGCCCGCCCGGCAACGGACGCGCGCCGCCTCGAGAGACGCCCGCCCGGACGGCCCGCGCGCGCGCGCAAGAGCTGAAGCGGCTCTCGCCACTCGTCTTCGACGCCGTCGTGCTGTTGGCGGCGACGGCGGCCGCGGCGACGACGACCACCACCACGATCGTGGGCCGCATGGGGCCCACAGCAGTGCTTTAAAGCTTGGCGATCGTGGGCCTGGTATGCCGCAAGGTTCAACGAGCCTGGCGATCGTGGCTGCTTCCTGAAGGTGCACCATAAGCTCGTCTCGGATGTTTTTCCGCGTTCCTCACGGCTGTCGTCGCCACGGTAGGGAGCACGGGTCGAAAGATCGGCTGGGACGGGGCTGGAGAGCCCGGGCGGAGGCTGGTCCAAGGGGCAGGCCCCGTGCTGGTTTTGGTCCAGGGGGGGGGGGGGGGCTGGCAACGGCAGGTCGCAGAGGGCGGGTGCTCGCGGCCCGCTGGGGACCAGGAGCGGCGAGTCGAGTCGTCTGGCGTTGCCGGCCAGGCGCCTGCATGCACACGGAGAGACAGAGGTATGCTGGCCTGGCCCGCCTTGGGCAAGCAAAGGGTCGTCGGGCCAGGGCACCGCGAGGGTCGCAAGCCGGCCTAGTTGGACACACGATTCGAACACCAAACATAAACCAAGAACGTCCAAGCTGAGATATAGCTAAAGACTACCTGAATGGTTGCCAAACGTTACATTCCACTTTGGAGCAACAGAATCGGAAGAGGTGGATCCGTTCCCCATCACTGCCCTTCCAGAGACTTTGCCGCTAGAGCTTTTTGCTAGATGACCCCTTCCTCTCTCTCTCTCTCTCTCACGACCTCGACACGCTGCCTCGAAGCCCCCGCTTCGCTTCCCATCGGTCGCTCACCTCTCGATCATCGCCCTAGTCCAGAAAGACCGCTGCGGCAGTTCGCGGAACCCCTCCTGGATTCTTCCTGGGGAAGGTTTTTGGAAATATTATCCCAAGCTCCAGGGGATGGGGGGGGCGAGGGAGGTTTTGGAAGATTGTTCCCAAACATCTCCAAACATCTTCCAACATTTAGCGAGTTCGCCCAATACATTCCAACAACCTCCCAAAATCCCCCCAAACACCTACCAACAAAAACATTCTAAGCACCTTCCAAAAACCTTCCAACAACCTTCAAACAACCTTCCAACATACCTTCCAAACACCTTCCAAACACCTGTTCAAAAACAAACCTTCTGGAGGGAGGTTTTTGGTAGTTCTCCTGGAAACCTTCCTGGGGAAGGTTTTTGAAGGGTTTCCGCCTAAGACCTTCCACAAAACCTTCCTCGGTAAGGTTTCAGGAAGGCCTCCTAAAAATCTTCGTACGACCTTTCGCTATAAGGTCTCCAATTAGTTTCCCCCTAAAACCATGTTAAACCTTCCTCAGGAAGGTTGGAGGGCTTCCTCCCAAAAATACACCTAAAAAGTTTATGAGGAAGGTTTCAGGAAAGCTTCCTCGTAAAAACATTCCTGGTACCTTCCTAGGGGAGATGTTTGGTTAGTTTGGGGAGCATTCCGTTTACAACCTACCGCTAACCTTCCTCAGGAAGGTTCCAAAATGATGTCATCAAACAAACCCCGCTCTAAAACCTTATCTGGGAAGGTTTTCGTACGGTTTTGTGAGGAATCCTCCGAAAATCTGCCAACACCTTCCTCAGAAAGGTTTGTGGTAAGTTTTTCAAATGTTCCTTTTAACGCATGGGGAACAACCTGACTCAAGAAGGTTTCAGAAGGGCTTTCTCCCCCGACACCGTCCTGAAATCTTCCTCCAGAAAGTTCCAGGAAGCTTGTTTTGAAGATTCGTCCTAAAACCTTCAAACAAACGCCCCTCCGGAAGGTGAGAGAAGGGCTTTCTCATAAAACCGTCCGTGGGTGGATTCCATCTCAAACCTTGCCAAAACCTTCCCCCGGAAGGTTCCACGAGCTTGTCCTCGTAGAAACCTTGCTCTCACCTTCCTCGGAAAGGTATTTGGAAGGTTTCGGAGGCTTCCTTGTAAAACCGTTCGAAAACCTTCCTCTGGAATGTTTCAGAAGGGCTTCCACCGGAGAAATCCGTCCTAAAACCTTCGCCGGGAAGGGTTTTGGAAGGTCTTTGGAGGATTCTCCCTAACACCTGCCAAATAACTCCCTCCGAAAGGTTTCAAGGGGGCTCCCTTTCAAAACCTTACTAAGACTTGTTGTCGGCAAGATGTTCAGAAGGTTTTCAAAAAGGATTCCTCATACAACCACTCAAGAACCTGCCTCGAACCTGCCTGAAGGACGGTTTTTGGAGCTTCTGAGACAAACACCTCCCTAAAATCGTCCTCAGGAAGTCTGTTGGAAGGTTGTTGGAGGATTCCTTCGAAAGCCTTCCAACAACCTTCGTCCGGAAAGATTCCAGGGCGGCTTCCCCACAAAAAAATCAGGCAACCTTCCTCAGAAAAGTTGTGGTAAGGTTTTGAAATCCCTCCGAAAACCTTTTCAACAACAACAGAAAACTTCCCTCAGGAAGGCTTCAAAAAATACCCCTTCTTATGTTCATCTTTTTTTATATCAAAAAAGGAAATAACAAAACAAACAAACAAGATATAGCAAACAAAAAACGTCCTAAAGCCTTCCTCAGGAAGGCCTCAGGAAAGCTGCCTTTTGGAAACCTTATCAAAACCTTCCTCGGGAAGCTTGTTGCAAGAGTTTTTCACGTTTCCGTCTATAGCCTTCTAAAAACTGTCCTCGGGAACGTTGCACGGGGGGCTTCCTCCTAAAAGCCCTCCTAAACCATTCGAAGTTGATTGCATGCTTTTGACGGATTCCTCCTACGAACCTTACAAAAACCTCCCTCGGGCAAGTTTCAAGAGGGTTTCCTTCAACAAAGACATCCCATAACCTCCTCCAGAAGGTTGTCTAGCAAGTTGCTGGAGGATGCGTCCAAAAAACTGTCCAGAAACCGCCCTCTGGAAGTGTTCACCGTGGTTTCCTTCCACTGACCTTCCTAAAACCTTCCCTGGGAAGGTTTCAATACGCTTCCTTTTTTATGTTTTAAACCACCAAAAAAACCTTCCTCAAGCCTCTCTACGGAAAATGATTAAGGACACTTCAACCAGGGCTTGGTTGGGAGGGCCTCCCGAACCGGGGCTTGGTTAGAGAAGGGCCTCCCCAGACTGATCCAACAAAAAACCTTCCAAACACATTCCTCAGAAAGGTTTCAGGGGGGGGGGCCCTCTAAAACCTTCCAATAACCTTCCTCCCACAGGAAGGTTTCGAGATGGCTTCCTCCGAAAAACTGTCCTGCAACCTTCCCTGGGTAGGTTTTCGGAAGGTGTTTGGAGGATTCCTTCTAAAGCCTTTCAGCAACTTGCCTTGGGAAGGTTTCAAGAAGGTTTCCTCCGAATCACCTTCCTAAAAAGTTTCCTCAAGAAGGGGGTTGCATGATAACTTGCCAAGAACCTTCCTCCAGAAGGTCGAAAACCTTCTTCTGGAAGGCTTCTGCTCCTAAAACCTTCCAGACACCTTCCTCTAGAAGGTTTCCAGAGGGTTTATCCACGCAAACCTTCCGAAAACCTTCCTGCGAAATGTTTTGAAAAATGTTTAAAAGACTCCTCTTGGAACCATCCAAAAAAATCCCTCGGGGTGATTTCGAAAGGGCTCCCTCTAAACAGCCATCCGGAAACCTTCCTTGGGAGGGTGTCTGGGGGGGTGCCTCATAAAAACCTCAGTAAAAACTCCCCCAGGAAGGTTGTTCGACGGTTTTGGGAAGATTCCCGCCAGAACTGTGCTAAACCATTCGTCGGGCAGGATTCAGGAAGGTTTTTCTCTTGGGAACCTTCCCACAACCTTATTCAGGAAGGTATTTGGGTAGGTTTTGCGGGATCCCCCCCCCAAAAAAAACCTTACAATGACTTTCCCCGGAAAATGTCAAGAGGAAGTAACCCAAACTTGCCAGGACATAAGAGCGCAGGTGCCGTTGTATGTTGTGCAGCGCGCACGCGGCATGATTAACACGACAAAAATAGAAAGGAGAGGAACGAAGGCCCAGACTCGAAAAGGACATGGGGGCGGGAACAAACAGGACATGGGGGCGGAAACGAAGAGCAGAAAAAGGGGGCGGAACACTCAGCGCGACAGCAGCAAAGACAAGGTGACAGGGGGACGTGGACGACGACAATAGCGCCGGGAGGAGACAGGAGAGTGTTGCTTTTGTCGGTAGTACGCTGAAGATGCAGCGCTGCCAGCGCCATGTCGCCGCGGCGCTCGACATGACTAAGCCTGCTTATAGCTAGTGCAAGAAGCGACCGAGGCCTAGCTCGCCCGTCCCCTGTGGGGCTGGGATACGACGGGTAACAGCATCAAATATTGCGCGTGGCATCAAGGGATGCATTGAATAATGCGCAGGTCTCAGGTCTGGAGG